AGGAATCGAAGATGCCGAAATTGCTAGAAAATCTCGAGCCATGCGTGCCAGATTAGGATATCTTTCTTCATTCATCTTCCACCATTTCAAAACGTCGACTGTTGCTACTGCTCTTTCTTCTGCAGTGTACAAATTGACTTCCCTTAGTTAGTCATTTCTCGCTGATGTCGCAGGCGATGTTTTGTTTCCTTTAAATAAGGAAAAAACATCTAAAAGTCCATCGTCTTCATTTTCGGATCCAGGCTGATTCATAGATTCAACATAATTAGGGTCTGCCTATAGTTTTATAATGAAAAAGTTAGAATTTATATTTATAATCTTTAAAATGGTTGACAAATCTTTAAATATTTTCTTTTAGAAACAGATAATTTTAAAAATATTAATGAAAAGTAAGTAAAGTTACTTATACCGTTTGCTCAGGTTCCTTGTAGTACTGAGTTTTGAAAATTCTCTTAAAAATCTCAAACGATGAAGCTTTCATTTCTATTCCCCAATTTGTTGCATTGAAAGTTTCTAATTTATATCTTGGATCTAAAATCAGCACCACGCAGTACATCCAATTGCTTTTATCATAATGTTTAAGTAGTTTTTCCAATCCTATTTCTAAAGCCGACAACATATTTTCTTCAATCGAATTGCGAACTTTACTCTTTAATTGATTAATCGATTCTTCCATTTTGTCAAGCAGCATATTAAATCCCACAATGACTAAATTTAATGTAGGATACTTTTCTCCGCCTAATATTTTCGATAATACTTTAAAGTGACGCAGATACTTATAAATTTCCTGAAGCAGTAACCATTCATTGTCGGAGATGATCAATCGATTCAAAGCATTATTGTTTTCGCAAAGCAAAACTAAGGCTTTCTGCAATCGTAACCCCAAATTGATCATGTCACATGTAGAATCCCACCTGGTTTTGACATCAATGTTTGGAGAAAGCATTTTTATGCCACAAAGCTGACAACTGCTTTCGAGCTTATTTTTCCATTGCTCGGAATTTTTTAACAATTTAAATAAGTTTCGTAATTTTGTTAAAGGAGATTCTTGAAAAGTTGTTTCGACATTTATTAAAATTTCGCTTACTGCATCATTCGACTTCTCTTTGTCAGCATCATCATCATCATCATTATTATCATCATCGTCATCATCGTTATCTTCATTTCCTTCTTCAGTACCAATACCATTTTCTTCTCTAATCACTTCAAGTCCCAGATGTGTCAACATTGCTTGAACCGCAATATTTAAAATGTGTGGATAACATTGAAAATGTTGGTTCTTATGATCAAATGTCATTAAATGTGATAATTCTTTCATAAACTTGAAGTTTGCACTCGTGTTATCTACTGTGATTCCTAAGACTTTGTCGGTAATTTTAAAATCTTCCACAGTCTCGTAAAAGGATACTGCTATGTCCTTACCAGCATGCAATCCAAGAGAAGGAACAAAGTCAACGAGAAGGGAATGTAAATCCCAATTATCATCGATAAAGTGACATGTGATACCAGTATAACTCTTGCGGGTTATAGAAGACCATCCGTCTAAGGTGAACGACAGTTTCGAATTATTGTTTTGTAAAATATTTTTTACGGCAGCCTGCATTTTTTCAAATCTATTTATCACAAGTGTCTTCATTTTGTTTCGCATAGGGATTTCAACAGTAGAATTCAAATAAGAAAATAATTCTCGAGTTTCGTTGTCATCAAAGAAATTTATAGGGAGATACTTTTTTGCTGCCCAATCAACAAGTTTTTCCTCCAATATTTTTTTATCCAAACGCTGCAAAATTTTGAGTATGTTATTATTCCATTAAAAGATCAGCTTTATCTATTAGAACTAGTGCAGAAATTTTATTCAGGCCGTGGTCGGGGCCAGATTTAGAAATCTAACCTGGCTCCGGCCTGGGTCCCGATTTCACCGATATTGAAATTTTTTGTGAAGAATGTTCTAATAAATTCTAAAAATTTAGTTCACATTCTAACTAATAAATAAAAACATGATTTTTAGTCTGCTCAATTCAAATTTGGAGAATTTTAAAAACAATATTTAGGATTTATATATTTGTAATAGTTGGTAGGTAAAACAACATTTTTAATTAGTATATTAAGAGCCGTAAAATGAACAACAAATTACTAATTATCATTTTTCAGCACTAATACTGTGCATGTTGTTTTTCTTTTAAAAATCTTATTTTGCAACAATAAAAAATAAAAAATAATAATTTTCTATGGTAATAAAGGTTAAAATATATTATTTTCAAAAAAGTTTTAATGAATAAAAATTTTAATTGAAGAAAAAGGACAATTTTCTTTTAATAAGAAATAATTTAAGTATAAATTTGATTATATTTTATTATATCAAAAATAATAAATATAATATTTTTATATTCAATTTAATAATATTAGTGAACATTTATTATTAGTTATATTTTAAATGAGTTTTTGAAAATTAGTTCGTACAATTTTATATCTCAATTCAATTAATTCAGAGTATTGAGAAATATATTTTTTAAAAGCTTTTTAAATAAATTCAAATAAATTAAATGGTAAACAATTTAAGAAAAGAAAATTAAAAATTACTTTTTCGGAGTTATTGGCATGAGGGTAAGTTTCTTTGTATTCCTCTTGGTGAAATTTTTCAAGATGCCGTTTAATTCCCGAAGTATTACTTGCAGTCATTTTAATCACTTTTTCCACAGGAGGTACTTTTGAAAAACAAAGTTTGCACTTGCCCCATTTTATTCCTTTTTCGTCGGTATGAAACTCAAATGATTCTTCTAAGGCTTTTCCATTCAATTTACGCCGTTTAGGGTTAGGTGGGAGATTTGAATCCAAATGAGAATCTCTATTTATTAATTGAAATAAACTTATCAATGTAAGTAATAAAGTTAAAAATTATTATGAATGATTTAAAATTACTTGGAAACTTCCATGTTTCTTATCAGTTTTCACGTTTTTAAAAGTGTAAAATTTCGCATTAGTGAGAGGTTGTCTGGCTAACGAATTCAACGAGAAAAATGTCAAAACATTGAAACTATTAAAAAAAGAAACAGACGAGAAATAACAAAAAAACATATGAGAAGCTTGATTTTAAAATTTCTCGTACAGCGATTATAAATCTACGAGAGAGTCGAGATTCTCGTATCGAAGTGCATCACTAATCGCATTTATGAGTAATGAAAAACGAATTTTTAGGTTAGACATTTGTGAATTGACTGACAGGGATGGGCAACCATATGTCATTTTACTCATTTCGAGTCACTTGAAGTTGTCGATTACTCATTTCGAGATCGTCTTCCAAATGCGTTGCAACAAAAGTGAGTCGAGCTTTTTTCTGCGAGTGTACGGAACCCTAAAAATTGCACTATAAAATCCAAACTCTGACCTCCTCGTGGTAAAGTGGGCAAGTAAGTTTTTTTTAAGCTGAAACTAACGGAGTAAAGGTACATAAAAAAAACATTAACCCGTTGACGGTCGCTGATTACGAATATGATATTCGTTTTCCAAAATTCAAAATGGCTGTTCCAATATGGCGGACAGCAAAATAAAAAATTGATCAGATTGACTTGAAACGTAGTACTCGGGGGTTTTTGGGGTCGCTGATTACGAATCTAACATTAGTTTTCCAAAATTCAAAGTGGCGGATCCAATATGGCGGACGACAAAATAAAAAATTAATTATATTGGCTTGAAACTGAATACTCGGGGGTTTTTAGGGTCGCTGATTACGAATCTGTCATTATTTTTTCAGGGCATTTATCGAAATTTGATTTCACCAAAAATTATCATACTGATGTCAGATTAACCAGTTTCAAACAAATTCAATAAATTTTAAAAAATTTTCCGCCATATTGAACCAGATATTTTGAATTTTGAAAAACTGATTTCAGATTCGTAATCAGCGACCCTTAAAACCCCCGAGTAACAAGTTTCAAACAAATTCGACGAATTTTGAAAAAATTCCGCCATCTTGGATCCGACATTTTGAATTTCAAAAAACTGATGTCAGATTCGTAATCAGCGACCCCAGAAACCTTAGGGTACCAAGTTTCATAAAAATCCATAAAAAAATTTTTAACACACTTTTGGCCCAAACAGTGGAAATCTCGTTGACAGCCAAGGGGTTAATAAGTTATAGACAATTTTATGGTATTTTATGGTTTTTACGTTTTTCTCGAGAACAATTCACTTTAGACAAAAATGTTTGAAACATAAAAGTAGTTGTTTGTTAAAACCTACAACTTTCGTGAGAAACATTTTTTGTAATTTTGTGTTTTTTAGGAGTTAAATGCAAAAAAACAATTTTATGGTGTTTTTTATGGTTTTTACTATGAAATTTTAGTTTTCGCAAATTTTCATTCTGATTTTCTTAATCAGCGCCCTGAATTACATAAACGTTACTGATTTTCTTTAAGAATAATTCTGTTTTATTAGAATTTGTATTTTAGGAAATCTTATATAGTATTTTATGGTTTTTTACATTTTTCTCGAGAACTAATCACAATTGGACAAAAATGTATTCTAAAAAAAAGATGTGTTTTGTTGAGACCTACATCTTTTGTTAAAAAATTTTTTCTTAATTCTGTGTTTTTTAGGAGTTACATGCAAAAAACCATATTTTTATGGTGTTTTCTATGGTTTTCACCAAGATAAACTTATTTGCGCCAATTTTCACTATGATTTTCGTAATCAGGGCACAAAATTACGTCAGTATACCAACTTTCTTTAAAATCGGAGGTATGCGCTTTTCGGAAGTTTATCCTTTTTTATTTTTATTATCATTAATTAATTTTAAATACTCTGCAGAGTAAAAAAATTACATGTAATTTGTTTTATAGCAAATTATTTTCGTCCTTACAAGTTTCCACTTCGAAATGTACATAATGTGTTTTTGTATTTCAATTTGAAAAATCATATTGCCCTTGGTTGTTAAGAATAATATATTATTATTATTGTATTATATTATTATTTGACAAATCGCCAAAAATGATTTTTTTCAGTTCGGTCAAACGCCTCCATTAATTTTATTAGATTGCTCTAAGTTGCAATTTGGCAGGGGAAGATTGGATGGTACAATTACAGCATTTCGAAAAAGGTTGGCGTTATTCAGGGAAATTACCCTTCCAATGCTTAAGAAAATTGACAACAGCAAACGACTCACAATGGTAAAATGAAAAGGAATCATAATATAATTTCATTAATGGATATTCAATATTTTTTTGTCTCTATTATTTTATGATTGCATTTTAATTTATGGTTTTATGATTGTGATTTTTGATTGTACCAATCATATTATATAATTCTAATATTACGTAATTTATATTAATTTATTATAAAATCAATGAAATTCATTTTCTAATTTGAAAATTGAATTTTAATTATACCCAATGGGAAATTTACAACTGGCGTAGTACTGCGCCAGCACTAACAGCACTGGCGGCAAGGCTGAGAGCCAGCACTGGCATGGCACTGGGATGATAACGCAGTAGTTAGACAATGTGAGTTCCTGGCGATAGTTCTCAAGGCTGCCTGCTGCTGTTCGCGAGGCCTCCACTAGCGCTGCAGTCGGTTATGGCGCGTATATTTAAAATTGTTAATTTCGCGGGCATTGCTCTCTACTATATTTTTCTACATAGTTTAAGGTCAACCTAATAGATGGGTCCACTAAAATTTACAAATATTTTATTTTAACGAGTCTTGAAAATTTTGTTCTACAAGACATGTACATATCAGGATATTTTACTTTAAGAGCTTCCTTATTATATAATCATTATAAAATATACATTACAATTAAATGTAAGTAGTTTTTCATCAGTTGATATTAATTCATTGTTGAATCATAGTTAATGCATTAATGACTCATTGTTGATTCGTTAATGATTGATCGGTGATTTATTATTATTATTATTATTATTATTATTATTATTATTATTATTATTATTATTATTATTATTATTATTATTATTATTATTATTATTATTATTATTATTATTATTATTATTATTATTATTATTATTATTATTATTATTATTATTATTATTATTATTATTATTATTATTATTATTATTATTATTATTATTATTATTATTATTATTATTATTATTATTATTATTATTATTATTATATTATTATTATTATTATTATTATTATTATTATTATTATTATTATTATTATTATTATTATTATTATTATTATATATTATTATTATTATTATTATTATTATTATTATTATTATTATTATTATTATTATTATTATTATTATTATTATTATTATTATTATTATTATTATTATTATTATTATTATTATTATTATTATTATTATTATTATTATTATTATTATTATTATATTATTATTATTATTATTATTATATTATTATTATTATTATTATTATTATTATTATTATTATTATTATTATTATTATTATTATTATTATTATTATTATTATTATTATTATTATTATTATTATTATTATTATTATTATTATTATTATTATTATTATTATTATTATTATTATTATTATTATTATTATTATTATTATTATTATTTATATTATTATTATTATTATTATTATTATTATTATTATTATTATTATTATTATTATGATTATTATTATTATTATTATTATTATTATTATATATATTATTATTATTTTTTTTTTATTATTCACGGGGGAGAAGAGGAAATGCATTTACGCATCCCCAGGAAGATCCCACTACCTGCGGTATGTCGGACTCGTACAAAATGCAAGGAAAAAAAGAAACCTCACATACCTGCTTTTTACGGCAGGTCACCCTACCGACTAAAACCTCTTCTTGTTTCCCCTGGGTTTCGAACCTTCTATCCACCTACGGAACTACCTAGTGGCTTCAGACTTCGTAGATGAATGGTGTCCATGTAGTCGCTGGCGCAACTCTCCCGTGCCGCTCTTGTTCTGGCCTTATTTTCTCCTTGTCCTTGACAAAGTCTTCTTTGCTTCCTCGAGGGCAGTTCTGAAGACCTTGCAACTTCCTGATCCGGCGACATGTTGGATGTTCTCCTTTTCGCCGAACTTCGCCTTGCATAAGAAGCAGCATGGGCTCTTCTTACAGTCTGCTGCCTTATGGCCGGCTTCTCCGCACTTAAAGCACGCAGCCGACCTATCTACTGCATTGCAGTCTCGACCTATATGACCATAGTCAAGACACCTATGGCACCTTTTGACCATCACTCTACTTCTGATCCTGCAGGACACGAATCCAATCTTTACGTGACCCACCTTCTCCAGCTTATCAGCATCTTCCTGGCTGGTGACCACAACAGCGAGTTTCACTCCTCGCTTATTTGGCCCAAGGACCGTCACCTTTCTGCTTCCAGCTGGAACTGTGGAAACTTTCTCCAGGGCATCCTCAACATCTTTCTTCTCAGTAAGGGCATCCATGTCGCGGATTTCCAGCGTAGTTCGCCGATCCGCCATCTGCACCTTACCCAAATCGCCGATCACCTTTGTCACCTCCTCGGTGAACAGCTTCTTGTTTGAAGACCCTCCAATTATTATTATTATTATTATTATTATTATTATTATTATTATTATTATTATTATTATTATTATTATTATTATTATTATTATTTTTTTTTTTTTTTTTGCTTAGGGACTTTTGGGAAATCTGCCTACAGATACCTTGGATTCCGCACTCCAAGGTTATGTGGGGTTGGTGTGATAAAACAAAAGGAGATAAAAAAAGAAAAATAAATATATAAAATAGTAAATTTAATAAACTGGCGACCTACTGCCAGCCCGACCCACTAAAACCCGTAACCCTTCTTCTGGAGCCCTTTACCCTCCCTCGGAACTGTCGTAAGACTTTAGCCTTCGAGGGTGGCGCTCCAACTCTGTCGCTAATGCGACTTTCTGCTTTTCTCTGCGGTTATCCTGCGTTAATAGTTAAATTGAAAACTATTTCAATATAAAAGCGGAATTAACAGCACAAAAATAATAAAAAAAACAAATGTTTAATTAAGTGTAAACAGTCAAAAGATAAAATTGCAAACGGATATATAAAAAAAGAAAAAATAAACGCGTTTATAATATTGAAAACATAAAACAAATTAAAAAATGTATAAGGACAAATAAATCACATAATAAATTAATAAAAAACAAACAAAACAAATTAAAAGCTGTTTAAATTACGCTTTTTGGCGGCCGTCGAGATCCTTCCTCGACATAACCGAGATTATGAAGTTCTCGACTTGCCAGCAATTCTCTTCTGACTGGGTCATCAGCGATACCATGTTCTCCGGTGTAACTTGAATGTTTACACCTTCGAACATGGCCCGCCTCTTCAAGTCCCATTCTCTGCATGAGAAGAGGGTGTGCTCCGCGTTGTCCTCAGGGAACTGGCAATATGCACACACCTCGTCCTCGCGTAATTTAAAGCGACACAGGTACGAGTTAAAACACCCGTGACCTGTGAACGCCTGAGTCAAGTAATAGGAAACCTGACCGTGTTTCCTATTTATCCAGGTGGCGAGTGCCGGGATAAGGCGATAAGTCCATCGACCTTTCTCCTCACCATCCCATCTTTCTTGCCATCTTTCTATGAGCCTGTGCCTCGCTTCTTTGCGGATCAGGCCCTTGCTTGGTCTTAATTCCTCATCCAAGGAACTTCTTTCTTTAGAAAAGAGAAACATTTCTTCCCTTTCCCTCGCCAAAAGATCTGCTGGCGGGACACTTGCAAGGAGCTGCACATCACTCGTAGATACCGTCTTATATGCAGAGATGATACGCGTTGTTATCGATCTCTGCGCCGACAGTACCTTTTCACAGATGGTTACACATCTTTTACTCCTTAGGGATGGGACCCACGCTGGTGCTGCATAGAGCATTTTAGCGTGGGCGACACTCGCCACCAGTCTCCGTTTTTGTTCACGGGGTCCGCCAACATTTGGCATTAGCCGTGAAAGATTAGCCGCACACTCGATCGCCTTATTTGACGCCGTAGCCATGTGGTGGTGGAAGTTTAACCTTCCATCCAACTCCACACGAAGATATTTAATTTGTTGACTCCACTTGACCTCGAATCCGTCTATCACGATTCGTGGAAGCTTATAACCACGTCTGTCTGTGACTAGCAATGCCTCGGTCTTTTCCAGGGCCATTTCAAGACCTCTGGTATCCAGCCAGCTTTTTGCAAGTCGCAGTCATTCGTTCACCAATGTCCCAAGAGCCTCCTTACTTTCGGCAGTGCACACGAACAACGCGTCGTCCGCAAAGCCGATGATCACCGCACCTTCGGGCAGATCCATTCGCAGAAAATCATCATAAGATACATTCCATACAAATGGACCCACCCTCGAGCCTTGAGGAGCCCCACGCTGCATCTCTTCCCTGAGAGTGCAGGTGTCTTCCTCATATATAACCCACCTGTCGCTAAGATAATTATCCATTATCCGCAACAAGTAGGGCGGCATGTTTTTCTTTTTCATCGACTCGATGAGATCTTTCCATCTTGCGGAATTAAACGCGTTGCGTATGTCAATTGCTACCAACGCGCAGAAGCTATTCTTTTTTCCAGGTCCCAACTTGTTTTTTCCTGCTTTGACTATGTCCACAACTGCCTGGATGGCATCAACTGTGGACTTGCCTTTACGGAAACCAAATTGGTGATCGGATAGACTATTCTCTCCGGTCAAGTGGCTTTGCATTCTCTGCAGAACCATATCCTCTAGAAGTTTACCCATCGTATCCAACAGGCATATAGGACTGTACGATGAAACCTTATCTAGAGGTTTTTCACCTTTCCTTAGGAGGACTAACCTCTGTCGCTTCCAGTCGCGGAAGAACTCTCCTCTCTCAAGGCAAAGATTGAAGCATCGAAGCAGAATCTGGGGTGAAGTGTCGATTACCAACTTTAGGATCTCGTTACTTATCCCATCGATTCCAGGCGCCTTGCCTGTTTTCAATCATTTGCCTGCTTTTTGCAGTTCACTAAGTGTAAAGAGTTCTTCCTCTTCGACTTTGCAAAAACTCCAGTCCCTTCTAAGGTATGGCTCTGCAGGAGGAAACAAAGAATTTATTATCTTTCTGACCCAATCGGGATTGTCCAGGCCGGGGGTCTTTTGCCTCGTCGCTAATTTCTTAGTAACGATTTTAAAAGCCAGACCCCATGGGTCCTTATCGACTTCCTC